CTTGGCTCAAGGCAAAGAATACCAGAAAGATGTTTACTTGTGTTTTATTGACTATGCAAAGGCATTTGATTGTGTGGATCATGACAAATTGTGGATAACATTGAAAAGAACGGGAATTCCCAATCACTTAATTGTGCTCATGAGGAACCTGTACATTGACCAGGAGGCTGTCATTCGAAGAGAACGAGGGGACACTGCATGGTTTAAAATCAAGAAGGGAGTGTGTTAGGGTTGTATCCTGTCACCATACTTATTCAATGTATATGCTAAACAAATAATCTGAGAAGCTGGACTATATGAAGAACATGGCATCAGGATTAGAGGAAGAATCATTAACAACTAGCAATATGCTGATGACACAACTTTGCTTGCTGAAAGTGAGGATGACTTGAGGCACTTAGTGATGAAGACTGAAGAATACTGTCTGCAGTGTGGATTACATCTCAATATAAAGAAAACAAAAATCCTCACAACTGGACCTATAGGCAGCATCACAATAAATGGAGAAAAGATTGAGGTTGTCAAAGACTTCACATTGCTTGCTTCTGCAATTATCGCCAATGGAAGCAGCAGTCAGGACATCAGACGACGTGTAGCACTGGGCAAGTCAGCTGCAAAGGTATTCTTTCAAGTGCTGAGGATCAAGGATGTCTCCTTGAGGACTAGGGTGAGCCTGGCACAAGCCATAATGTTTCCAATTGCCTCGTATGCATGTGAGAGCTGGACAATGAATAAGGAAGACCGAAGAAGAGTTGGTGCTTTTGAGCTGTTGTTCTGGTTCCTAGTGCCGCTCTGACAAGAATATACCACAAATGGAATGGCCTTAACAAACAGGAGTTTATTGTCTTATAGTTAAGTCCAAGTTCAAAGTGCCAGGCTCTAGGGGCTGGGTGAAAGCCCCTCAACCTTGGGGTCCAGCTCTGCCTCCTGCTCCCGGTCCACTGGAGCTAGAGGCGTTTCTTCACTCAGACAGCTGCTGGCTGCTGTGGCTGAGAAACCCCAAGGTTGACAAGT